TGTAAATAAGTCTCAGAGCTCCCCAAAACATGTGTGACTTGTCTTCTTCTAAATCCACTCTGATCCTGTATTTGATCATGTCTATAAACCCCTCTATTTCAGCCCTGATCAGAACAGGCTGTTTCTGTGTCTGTACCTTTAAATGTAAATGAGCTGTGTCTGACCACGCCCCCTCTCTGGAAGGGCTCGGGTGTACTCTGGCTTTCTCGCTCCATGTCCTATTGTTTACGTCGAGAAGCAGACTCAGAGGGCAGAACAAACACCTAGCTGTGGGAGTGTCACCCACCTGGGGGAGGGGTTACTGCCCTTTGTGATGTCATGAAGGGACAATCTCCAAATGGCCTGTTTGTGCACAGATTTTCTGAAAGTTGGAGCAGGCACAAGACTGAGGATGGCCTTTCTCACTGACATTTAAGGAAAAGTAGAAAAGAAGAGACTGAACTTCTGGTTCATTCTAATTCTCACTTCTTTAAAATACAGCCACGCCTCTATAGCAACACGGAGCTCACTGAGAACGGGGACACAACGTTGGAAAAACATTTTGGGGAGCTGAATGGAGACAACAACACCGTAAAGAGGTGACATTATGAAATGTGAAAAAAACTGACATTATCAAAAAGAAACGCTGTGAATTGAAAGTGTTTTTCTGCAGAGTAACCTTATTAAAAAAAAGCACGACCTTTGAAGACATCCATCATGCATTTAGGAAACAAACAGTAAAGATAAGAAACAAAAAGAATAACGAGGTTAATGATTGGAAATGTAAGTTTGCTTCTTACTCGTGTGTCGGCCTTTAGTTTAAAATGTCACATCTGTGTTGTGATAAATATCTCAAATAAACCCCTCCTCCTGAATCTACAAGTTCCTGGTTTTAATTTTCCGTGCGTGCTCAATGTCGTGCAGATTTCGTTTGGATTTCGTTTGGATTTCATAAACATCCCGAGTGGCCTGATTGTTCCTGCTGCATTCTCCTCACAGCGCATCAGTGAAGGCTTGGTGACTCATGCTCCTGTGGACGCACACAATTCACTCTCACCTGCAGCAGACCTTTCCCTTTCATCACAACAACAAACACGGCATGGGAGCGTGAAAGTGGATTTGAGCACAGTTACATGAATTATTTTTGGATAAAGCACCTCAAAATGAGCACCCTGAGGTGACTTAGCTCACTGAGACAACATTTTATAAATGTCACGCTCTCTGTGTTGCCCCTTCTATCCCCTCTCTCTCTCTCTCTCTCTCTCTCTCTCTCTCTCTCTCTCTCTCTCTCTCTGTTGCACCATTTCAGTCTCCTGTGGTCGAGTGTAAACCTCACACCGATTTGAGAAACGGATGTTTTTACTGGTTTTCTAATTTCTTGGAAATATTCTGTACGTCTGCCCTTGCGTGCCGTAAACGCCTTGGAGACTCACAATCTGGTGCCAGATCTCACATTTCACTAAAGAGCAAAAACTGATGCATCACACCTATTCCCAGACACACGCACACACACAGGCACACAGACACACACACACACACACACTTAATCGACCAGAGAAAGAGGCTGACGTCAAACCCTGTAGACCCATTCACAACTCGCTCTCCTGCCCTCTATCTCTCTCTTTCATGGATGAGTCCGCCAAGCTTCTGACAACCTGATTTAAGGAGGAGAGTTATTGGCTGTCAGGCCTCGAGGTAATGAACGGGGAGCAGCCGGGCAGTCGCCAGGACACACACACACACACACACACACACACACACACACACACACACACACACACAGACGGAGGCACAACGCACCTTCATTCATTTAAAGTCTTTGAGTATGTAGTTTCTTAATTCGTTTCTTACCAAATCCTATGTCCCTTGGCACAATAAGGACGTCCTCACAGAAGCCATAAGTCAGCATCCATTTTTAGTTGACTCTGCTTTCTGTCATGATGAGTCATTTCTGGTTGATCTCGACTTATTTATTATTTTCCCCAGAGTTTCCAAAACACACAACAAAGGGCTGGACCCCTTTTAAATCTGACTGCTCACCCCACACTCGTCAGAGATGGGACTAATGTTAAAGTCAACACTTTGGCCTCTGTAGCAACAGGCTGCCAGTAGCTTTCTTTGCATTTCAATGTGGTGAACTTCCTTTGGTGACTTTGGATGCTGGTGTGTGAGCACCCCTGCTTATCCCACCCCTGCTTACTGTACCTCAGGGGCCAAGTTAGACCACCCTACAAGTCCCCAAGGTGATGGTTAGCTTCAGTGAACCGGTTCAAGATTTAAGTATGGAGAAAGAAAATGCTTGTTAGCTCCTAATGCTAACCAGATTAGCAACATTTAAACATCTGCCAACTACTTCACACATGACAGCAGCCGTGGCCAAATGCGGATTCTGTTTCTTCTCTGTTGTTTGAAGCAGCAGGATGGGAACAAATGAGTAAATAATGGCTCTGCAAGATGACTAAATCTTATCATCTATAATCCATCATGAGAGGAAGTCAAATTCAGTGTTTGAGAGTCAGCCAAGGTAAAGAAACGTACAAATAATTGGACCTTGAGTATTATTATTTAGTCAAATGAGCATTTTCCATGTATGAACTTTGACATTTCTTTCAAGGAAACAGAGATCATGGTTAATATTTCCCATCTCCACTTGAAGGCAGAATAACTTCTGAGGTTTTATTTGTTCCAAAGTGTTTCAGACGAGCTCCTGTAAATCCGGTTTAATGAGACTGTAATGACACTGGTCCCCATGGTGAAATTAAAAGTACCGCTCCCTGTGCAGGAATACTTTCAGATTCACCTTCCTATAAAAGATTTGACACAAACAGTTGGACCGCAGTGCTGTGAGAAATGGCAGAAATTCTACTAATTGCCTGAAAGAAACGTCTGATTTGACCTGAGAAGAACCGTGTGTGGGTTTTTTTAGCAGTCAGGCGTTGGAGAAGGGGGTGGAACTGAGCTGTAATTGGTTTCTGTTTACCAGTAATTCTGCCACACATACAACCACAAGCAATTAGCCTGACAGCTCGAGCTGTATCAGAACAAAACTGGCACTGGGTGTGTGTGTGTGTGTGTGTGTGTGCATTTGTGTTAGCTAGTCATGAGGGAAAGTGTAATCAGGCTGAGATTAAAACAAGCATTATTACAACTCTTTCGTCCTGGTTTTCTTTCTCTCTCCTGCTCCTGAAATGTCCAGTTTGACATCTTTAGAAAGACAGACTTCTACAACAAGTCTACAATTAATTTATCAGACGCTTTTATCCAAAGTGACGAACATCAGAGAGTAAGAACAACACAAGCAAGGATCTAGAGAGGAGGAAAGAACGTCAGGAGCTTAAAGTCTGATCGGACACACAGGTGCTGACAGGAAGTGACCAGAGGCAGAGCACAGGTGCTGTTTTCGAGAGTTCTAATCAGCTTCAAAACCATCCTTTATACCGTCATCATCATCATTAAGGTTGTAGGTGTCTTCAACTTTTTCTTAAAGGTACAGGTGTTCCTTGAACCACTTTTGCCTACAAGAGCTGTTGTTTTGGAGATAATCTTCACCAAAGGTTTAGCCATCACATTTTGGCCTTTTGCACATAATCAACTTCGAGTGTAAAATGCTCACTTACTTCCCTACATATCCTGCTTACCCACTGACAGGTGAAGCAGCAACCTCGGGGGTTGAAAAATGAAGCTGATCATGAAGTTGCAACATCCTGCAGTTCCTCGAGTGTCCACTAGAGGCTGGCTGCAGATGCACAGGAAGTCACATACACACCCATTCTAAACAGCTTGTTTTTAGAGCAGAGATTAACATGTTTACAGCCTGGTTCAAAAAACCATATAGGTCTGATTAGCTCATGTCTTGATCAGCACACACTGTACGGGGGGTGAATGTTTTGATGACTCATCAGTTTTGATTTGATGAAGGATAAGAGTTATTCACAATAAGCGTGTAGCTGACATGATTGACAGGTGGCAGTTTGTCAGGAGTTTAAAACCCGCCTCAGCTCCAGCTCTCAGCCTGTCGTTAGGTTGACTGAAAGTTAGACTGAGACAGCATTCCAGCATGGAGACCGCCATCGATGAGACGCCAAAGCCCCCTGGAGGAACAGACGGGTGACGTCACTCAGGCTACGACCGTTAATATTCACAGTCTAGGGTTACTAAATTCACCTGTCAGTGGTCATAATTTAATGGCTGATCAGTGCATATTAGAATCGTCCTTCCTACACAGAGTGATCTAAATAAAGCAGCAGAGCTGAAAACAGGATAGCTGAGACAAGCAGGTCAGTGCAGGATAGCTCACATCAAACACGGCAACAACCAGAGGGATTTATGAATGAAAAGGCAAGCATCTCTCACACACACACACACACACACACACACACACACACACATTGATCCATACTAGACGAGATTTGACAGGCAGCCAAAAATAGAGACCACAGTGAGCGCTGGCTGACGAAGATGGTGCTGTTTCTGATACACACACACACACACACACAATCACCCCGCCCGTCTGGGTCTTTTGCGGAACCGTGTGAGTCATCGGTGGACTTTAACCGTCTCTGTCCCCCAGTGCCGCAGCAGGGACACGATGCCAGTCAATCACAAAAGGCCATAAAAACACTGGAGTAAATATAGAATCACTTTAATCCTCATGATGCAATCACATAATTTTGATTGAGTAATTTAGAGCACCACGAAAGACAGCTATAGGACGATGAATTCTCCAACATGTCACCTTTTTTTCACACACAACCAGAAACAGAGCATGTCTCATCCTCAGTCCTAAAACTAAACAAACAAACATCTCGTGTGAGTGTATCCACTTCACCAGGAGCCGTTACGCAGACACTAAAAATGTGCTGCATGGGTTAAAACTAGTTTTTGTTTGGCTGACTCCAAATTAAGAGCGTGCGCGTGAGTGTACCGTGTGTGTGTGTCCGCGTGCATGTGATGAGTGTGTGTACGAGTGTGTTGCGTATCCCCTCGCTCTCTGACGCACGAGTCAGGTGGTTCCTCTAATAGCATGAGGAGCTGTCCGCGGTGCTGAAAACACACTCCCAGCGCGCGGCTGACAGAGACATGATCAGTTCGCTCACGAGCCTCGAAAGAAACTGATTTCAAAGGTAAGACTAAGTTGTTCTTGATCAAACGACCCACTTTACACTTCGGCGATTATTTCAACACGAGGGTTCTTCTTTGATACATTGAGCTGCTGCTTTTCGTCGCGCGGAGGCTGATTGCCAACCTGATGCTCGGATGTAAAGGCGAAGAGGTTGCGTTGCCCGCAGTTTCTTTGTTCTCCTTCCGCCGAAAAAAAAAAATATCAAAATGTGCTTTTCTTTCTGTTCCCCGCGAGCGCAAGTTGTCTGCCAAGGGTTAATCAAAATTCATACACGAATAAGTGAAGTTTTGCAATTAAATTAACGCTGGAAAAACAGAATGACGGAAGAAGTAAGCGTGCATATAGTTGAAAAAAAACAATCGTTGTATCGTCGCTTTAAGTTCTCTGATTTGCAGTTTTATGTTTTTGCATAATTTTTGTAATGTAATGTACATTTGATAATGTAATTAGCCTATATAAAAAATATCAACTTGATGCTATTAATCTTGCATGCATAATTTTCCTTAAATAAACATTTTGCAGAGTTTCAAGCAAGGATTTGTTTTTTCACGAGTTACAGGAAAAAATGCTTAATTTGAGTTTTAAAAAAACAGCATTAATTGGGTTCAGAGGTGATCAGCTGGGTTAAAGGAGAGGCTCCATGGAAACATCAGTCTTACCGGGTTACCTTGACAACGGGGCCGTGACTCACGGAGAGCAGCAATTTGGCGACTAATGAGATTTTCACGAGAGCTGCGTGCCGCTGCTGCTGCTGGCAAACAGGCGGCGGGAGTCCAGAGTGATCTTCAAACAGAGACAACAGGCAGCGACGCGCTTTGCCTTTCACCTCGTTTGCTGCATGCATGTATCAGCTTAGGTCTGCTGCAAACTGTAAGAGCGAAATACAGAGACTCTTAACTATAACTTAACTTAACTATAATTAAAAGACAAGGGAGGAAAACTTGGGGTAGAGTCCAGTTCTGCCTGTTAAAAATAGGGTTTTATTTTCCTTTTTTGCCAAGTGTTAACTGTTGATGGGATAATGTATTCATATAAACAGCAAGAGCTGATTTAAAAAAAAAAGTGCTCTGAGATGACATTTGTGAAGATTTGGTGCTGTAGAGATACAAATTTGATTGACCGTGAATATTGCGGTATTTATTAATCCTAGACAACAGCAGTGCAAATGTCAACAACACCCTGATATCCTGCCTTCAGATCAATCTCCCTGTCTCTCCACTCCGTACTGCTATCATCAAATCAGACATTTAGGGTGATGATAAAAGCAAAAGACATTTAAGAAATGTCAGAGTGGAAAGTGATGCCAACCTGTTGGCTAAGTGTTTGAAAGGTCAATGTTGACGTGTGTATCTTTGTCTCCCTGTGCAGGCGTCACCATGCCATCGCTCCACAAGACCACCACCATGGGCAAACCTTTGCCCATCTGTTTGGCCAACCTCCTCTTATTCCACCTCTACCTCAGTTCCTTCTGCGTTGGCGTTCAGGGGGCGTCCCTCAGAGAGCATAGACTGAGAGGAAGTGAACCAGACGTCTACCAGGCTCCCAACGCCGACATGCTCAAAGCTCTGGAGTACATCCAAAACCTCCGTCAAAGAACCGGCATGGACTCCCAGCAGCACAGCCCCTTCGCTGCAGGGTACGATGCCAGCCACGCGGATGATTCTGAGAAGCTGCAAGCCATGCTGAGGCTGGTTTCTAACCCTGCGCAGAGCGGCGAGGAACGGGAGGCAGAGGAGGAGGGGAGGGAGGACAAGAGTGAAGAGCTGCTCCAGGCTGTCCTCAGCACCCTCCAGCAAACAGAGAAGGCCTCAAGGCCGGCTTCACTTCACCCCAGCATGCAGCAGAAGCAACATGGCATTAGGGCTCACAGGAAGCTGCCGCTTATGTTTGAGGATGAGGAAGAAGGTGAGGGCGATGAGGATGAAGAGAGGTCGGATCTGGAGCACGAGAGCCCCTTTAAGCGCACCAATGAGAACGTGGAGGAGAAGTATACGCCCCAGAATCTAGCAACCCTGCAGTCTGTGTTTGACGAACTGGACAAGCTTACAAGCTTCAAGCCCATGCATAAGCGTCAAGAGGAGGATGAGGACGATGGGGAGGAGGAGGATGAGGAGGGGGATGATGATATGTTTAATGTGAGGAACGTGGATCTGGCAGATTGGGGTCCACTGCAAGAACAGGAGGAGGAAACAGAGGAAAAGGAGGAGGGGCAAAGGGAAGACAAACACGAGGCAAACCGAGGGCTTGATTATGTGGACGATGACGATGTGGACGATGACGAGGAGGAGGAAGAAGATGAAAGCTACCCAGTCAAGAGGTCAAAAGATCCTGATGACGTTGCAAACCTGGTGGACTATTACCTCCTGAAGGTGCTGGAGAAAACAGAGGAAGAGGAACAGAAACGAGAGATAGAAGAGGAGGAGGAGAAGAGGAGAGCAGCTCAGACGCAGTACAGTGAAAACATAGATCCACGGGCCATTTACCAACTCATTCAGATCTCCCAGAAATACCAGATCCCACCCGAGGACCTGGTGGACATTTTCAAAACTGGGGAAAAAAAAGAAAATGTACAAAAGAATGAATTATTCAGAGCAGGAAGCAAGCACCCTCAGATGTCCTTAAAGAAGACGCACAAGATCCCTGAAGCGACATTTTACAGCAGACACCAAAAGACCCCCGAGGAGCTGAGGACGGAGGAGATATTAAACATCCTGGGGTTAGGGGGCGTGGGGGATCAGAGACCCGTCAGGAAGCAGTACAAAAGTCCTCCATCACGACTTCACACTCTGCCTGCGGGGCGTTCAGGGGAATCCACTCCCACGCAGCAGCAGCGGCGTCTTCCTCCCAGCTCTTTAAAGGGCGAATATGACGACAGCGTGGACGAGGATGAGCTCGCAGCGTATTTGGCAGCTCAGATGCTGGCGCAGTATCAGAGCCCTGCGTACAGTAACAACAAGAAGCAGAGCCAGAAGCGTGACGAGGTGGGACAGAGCACGACGGGCTCGCTCGAGCAGGCCATGCAGGATTATTTCACTCAGATGGACTTTGATAAAAGCTCAAATGAAAAGAGACACACTGAGGACGATGAGAGGGGAAGGGAAACGCAAACGGCGGCCTTTGACAACGAGGAGCTGATGAGTTTGTTGAGCTTTCTGAACCCAGAGACAGAAGAGAGTGACGCCAACACCGCCCGAGGAATTTAAAAGCAGGCTGTAGATACATATACATAGATATAAATAAATATATATTGTTTTTTTGGTGAAGGGAGCGAGTGCAAATAAAAGTATTTTGAAGTAAAAACATGCAGTCGAGTTTAGTTTTTCTGTAGTTTTACAAAAGTTCTTATTTGTGAGCAGAGATACGAGTGTGCAGACTTTCAATTTCATGCTTTTTTTTTTAATGAATCTGTTAGAAAACAGTACATGTGACTCACCAGCCTTACAGTTTAACAACACACACACACACACATGCACACCCACAAACACACACACACCCATCAACACACCCACACGACCCATATCAGTGTTGGACCCCCTGATTCACTTGTGTCTTTTTTGGTAACTCTTTCTTAAATGTGGTCGTATGTGACATACCTGAGGTTAATAAAGCATTGACTTTATTTTTTCCTTACTGTGTAGTGTTTCTTCATTTGCTCACTATCACACCACGCTGTGCATCAACAGCGACAGCTCGTTCAAATATGATGACTTGAAATACGAGGCTATACAGGCACTTATAGGCGCAAACAACTCTTTAAAACTTGAGTAAAAATACAATGAGTCGTAATAAAAGCGATGCAGGTCGATGAATCTTCATGTCTTGAAACACAGGACATCTTCACTTCTCCGAGGCTCAGTAGGCAGGTTTGCTCATGTACTCCTCCATCGTCTGTGAGGAGAGGAGCAGAGTTATAGCAAACAGCAGAAACATAAAACCATTTCTATGACTAATAAGAACAAACCTACGTCCGCTAAGAGTCTTTCACACTGGCCTAAAGTACCTCCTGGAGTGTGTCGGTCTCCTGCATAGATGCAGCCACAGCAGTTTTTGACGTTTCTAGAACTTCTCCCCCCATCAGGAACTCGTCCAGGATGAAGTACGCCTTCTCAAAGTTAAAGATGATGTCCAGCTCACAAACCTGTGGCAGAATATCACACCACGGATGAGGGAAAAAAAACACATTCCTTAAATGTATTTGTACAGCGCATCATTTTAGCCATGAGAGAAGATGATCAACAACAAAGTCAGGCAACATTATGCAAATAGTTTTCCATAATCAGATGGAAAAGCTTCATTTCCATCTGTTCTTGTTATTTAAATAAATGGAGATGAGGTAATGACACCTTATGGACACCAGGGGGAGTCAGACAGAGACATAAACAGGATTTCAAGGCCTTGCAGTGTACTTTGTAAAAGGGATTTGCTTCTATATTTAATTTGAGGATTGTCTGGTTCACAGTAGAAGCTTTAATATGATCACATCAAAGCCTGGGACTCTGTTTCTCAGGTGTGAAGGTAACAGTCAGTGGGGATTCTAGAGTCTGGTGGGGCCCTCAGCAAAAATCTATCAGGCGCCCCTCCAACCAGCGTTCATCACCATCATGTCTGCCAGAGTCCCGACGCTTACTCCTCTTCCTCGTCTTTACTGTTTATTTCTTCTCTCCTGCAGACGGATAATTCCTCTCCATTTCTCTTTCTTGACTTTCATAAACAAACTTTAGTTTTCACAGCACTGATGCTGCAACACTCAGCAGGGCAACGAGAGTGAGTGCTGTCAGATGGGGCCCCCTGAGGGAGGTTTCCTATTGTCATTACATCATTTTGCACATTTAGGGCCACTGCTTTGGTTTAAGTCTGTGAGCCCTCAGGGGCCCTCATACTTGTCTGGGGCCCCATGCCTCTGGTATCAGATCATATGTTAGCCAGCCTTTTTATTTTCAATCTTTGGAGTGGTTGTCCTACAATTAGTGCAGTGTACATGCAGATACAGTATACCAACGTATTGTTCAGTCTCCAGAGGATATACCCTCTTCTAAATCTCCTCTGATTCACACCATCGATTGATTGACAATATTGAGCTCTATGCTGCATGTTTTACCTAGGATGGTGAAGGGAAGACCCGCCCTACTCTGTCTCTGATTGGCTAGTACACACTGACTAAATATGCAGAAGTCTGACATGTCACTGTCAATATCAGACGTCATTTATCCTCTGCTGGACGGGACACTGAAAGAAAACAAACATTTGGGGTAAAAACTATACCCGCTTTACACCACCGCCTACAACCTTTAGGCAGATTTTTCTTTTTTTCTTTTTTTCTTTAGGCTCTAATGTGTCGGGCTTGTACAAAGCTGTGTTACACTGTGGGACACTCAGAGGAATCATAGAAGTAAAAAACAAAAGGAGAATTTGTTCATTCAAAGTGCTCCTTCCAGGTTAACATCTGTATAGTAAGTTATCTTTTTAAAACCTGTGACATTCTTAGCCTGCTCTCTTAATCGATTGTAACACAGATGAAGTTTACACTGAGTCCTTCCACCACCATGGAGGCGATGACATTCAGCTCTACGTACGTACATTGCCGAAGTATCGATCCAACAACTCGACATATCTGTGCAGCACCTCAAGGCTCAGCAGCTCGTTGTCCGAGGCCTCCAGACCAGCACAGAAATACAGGCTGGCATACCTGCGATTAAAAACAGGGAGATAGGTTTGATGATTCATTTACACATGAAAAACAAACGACATGAACAAGATTACCAGCGATGGGACCGAGCTGATCTAATATCTGTATTTAACTCAAATATACCCAGAATCCTGCTGCTCGCCTTCTCACACACTCCCTGTGACCACATCACCCACTAGGGGCCAGCATGTTCTGATCATACACTGTAAATATTTATGTTTGAAGACGTCACCCGTCTGTTCCTGCAGGGGGCACTGGAGTCCCATCGATGGCAGTCCTCATGCTGGAAATGCTGTCTCAGTCTAACTTTCAGTCAACCTAACAACAGACTGAGAGCTGGAGCTGAGGCGGGTTTTAAACCTCCTGACAAACAGTTACACCACGCCCACCTGTCAATCATGTCAGCTACACGCCTTATTGTGAATAACTCTTATCCTTCATTAAATCAAAACTGATGGGTCATCAAAACATTCACCCCCCGTACAGTGTGTGTTGATCCAGACATGAGCTAATCAGACCTGTTAAGTTTTTTTGAACCAGGCTGTAAACATGTTCATCTCTGCTGTAAAAACAGGCTTTTTAGAATGGGTGTGTATGTGACTTCCTTTGCTTCTGCAGCCAGCCTCTAGTGGACACTCGAGGAACTGCAGGATTTTACACTTCAGCATCAGCTTCCCTTTTCTACACCTGAGGTTGCTGCTTGGCTCTGACTGTCCGTGTTTGTTTATGTCCTCAGATTGATGCATTTCAAAGAAAAGAAAGAGGCAGAAAGAGTTGTAGCTCAAGAACAAGCAGAGAAATATTTATTCTACACGTGTTAGTAACTGATTTAAACTGTTAAAGTTTTTTCTGGTTCTGCATTCTGCCCTTCCTGTCTTCTCTGTCCACTTCCAGCTCCTTTACTTTTATGACTTGTAAGAGACGTGTTGCACCATCGCTATCAGCGTCCCATGGGTGACCGAGGTCCTGTGCTGTGTGTTTAACCTCCCCCCTTCCCTTTATTATACCCAGGTCTTGTTAACCTTTTGTTTACAATGGGTGTGTCAGTTTCTGTGTGCAGTTTGAAGCAATAGCAAAGACTTCAAACAAGTTCAGGGTGAAACAGATTCAGCTGTTCTTCTAAAAACCAATTTGTCTTCAGACGATCACGAAAACAACGATGACACTGCTGCACGCCGTGAAGCGCTCGTTTTGTCATGTGGGGAAGTGTGGACACCAGGAACGTGAGGAATACAAAGGAGAAATCCTTCCTGCATGTTATCCCATGTCCAGATAACACGTGTGATGAATTGGTGGAAACAAATAAAGATTGATTGATTGACCTCTTGTAAACGATCTTCAGGTCCCTCCACTGGATGAAGTTGCAGGAACGGGGTTGACGGGCCAATACCAACATGATCATGTCCCGTATCACTTTTTTCTTCTCCCTGTCCGTGTAGGCTGTGAACCATTTCTGCAGACGCAGCTTGCCCTGTCGGCTGAACAGCAACAGGAAGCGAATCTGGAGAGGAGAACACAAGAAAGGATGACTACAGAAACGGAGCCAAGAAACCAAACAGGAGGAACTGTTAGAATGTGTACTTTAATGCAGCGCGTGTGTACTGAAGCTTGTCAACAGAAGAAAACAAACACAAACATTAAAAGGAAGCAATGTGCAAACAAAGCCTGCAACAGAAACAATGCCTAACAACAGCTTTCAGAACTAGGAAAGAGAATCAGAGGTCGTCTTTATCACCTCGGGTGCAATTACACGTGAAAAACAAATGTTTGTGTTGTTGTGCAAGGGGCAATTAATGAGAGCTCTTTGCCCAGAGGTGCGGCTGCACGCAGCAACAAGATCGAACCTGACATATGGAGAGAAGAAGGAGAGGTGCACCTTTAACACCTCTGCAGAATCATTTGGGTTCAAACGCACCAGAGTCATATTTCACATTCATCTGACTGTTTGAAAACCATAAAAAGTGACATTTTAAAGACTGATCACAGCATTCAGGGCGATTAGCATGACTGTACATGTCATAAGCAAACATTAAGAACAAGACTTTAAGCCCTTTTTAAAGCTGTTTGATGAATCTTACATTCACTCTGCAGTGTTTTCCACATGCTGAGCTTCATGAATGATGGAATAACATCAGACATTTGATCAGGAAAGTCACTACTAAAGGGCTAAAGAAAGAGGACACAGCTATTGGCTTACATTGCACACTGCAGTAAATCAGCTTTTATCAACATGGATGATAAAGTAGAACAACGAGCTCAGGTAAGAGACTCACCATTCTGCCACAGCTCTCCGAGAGAAGTCGCGAGCACTGCGATCCTTCCGCCTCACGTCTCTCTTCAATACTTGAAGCCTTCTTTATTCTTGCTTATGCTTGTTGTGCATCGCAGCCGACATTGTTGCCAGTCCCAGAAATCAGTGCGCACACACCTTCTCCCGGTGAACGCCTCGCCCCGCCGCTGTCCGCCGCTGTCCGCCGGCTGATTGGCTGCGGAGGCGCCTCACTGCAAACTGCCCTCAGAGGGACAGGTGAGTCCCACAGACAGTACATATGAAGGTGCATCTGCACAGGAAGAAGTGTACATTTACAGAAGCAGATAACTCCAGGTGATATCACTCAGACTGAAGTTGGGGGGCTTCCGGTTTGAACCCAGTTTCCCAGAGGCATTATACATCTATTACAGCTCTATTTAAAGTGTTGATTAAACTTTCAGGGCACTGACCTCTTGAATTAGAAACTGTCACATACAAGTGAATATTTTGTAACAAATCTCTTTATTTTTCACATTTAAAAATGTCAATTTACCAAAATAAAAGCCAACTTTTATTTTTGTTTTTCAAATAAGAAACGGAGTTAAACTTCAAACAATGACGTCATCCAAAGCTGGTCAAACTGTGACTCTGTGCTCTTAATTTGTAATGAACCCGTTTGGTTTTGTTACTACATCTTCTTGCATTGCATATTGCATTTTACTGTAGGTTAAAAAAACGGATGCCTGCAGACCTCCGTGCTGCCGCTGGGGGTGGGGGGGGTGGGGGGGTAGGGTTAGGGGGGAGAGACTGAGGAGGGGTTCAGTTGTTCAGTGATGTTAATTCATCGCAGCTTCACGTGGTTTGTGGTCCAGGCTTAAAGCGGGAGGAGAGAGCTCAGCACATCGAGAGGCTTCCCAGAGCACAACAGCATGTCTCTGTACCGAAACTCCGCCTGGTTCGTGAAGGGACTGACCGAGTTCACCAGGTAAGAGGACACCTGTGTGTTCCGCCCTGCAGGCTGCAGACACCACTTATAGACTTATGTGCTGCTTTGTGCATCCTCCCATGTGTGTGTGTGTGTGTGTGTGTGTGTGTGTGTGTGTGTGTGTGTGTGTGTGTGTGTGTGTGTGTGTGTTGGAACAATGTGCGTATTACTTCTAAACGTGAAGATGAGCGATTAGAGCTTCATTAAGTTATTAAATGCATCGTAGCCTGTACATAAAATGTGAAATGTACGGTATGTATGCGCCTCAGGCTGAATCTAATGTAGAAGTGTATCGAGTGTTTTAACAGGAAGGGGCTCAGGTTGAAGTCAGTTCTTACCCCGGTGTTCATCCTTTGAGCGGAGAAGAGTTTAAGGCAGCTGAAACACATAAATCCTACAGATGAGCTCAGATGGATACTGGTCTTTAGGAGACTTATACAGAAATCAGCAGACTGAATAAAAACAGTAAAGATGAATGGATCAATCTTTGTAAAAAAGGATATAAAGTCAGTGTATTGATGAATCTGATTGTAGAGGGATGAAGGACTTTCAAAGTGAACACATCTTTGCTGAATTCTTATCTTTTGAGGATTGTGATTCAATAAACTGAATGTTCCTGTATCTGAAATGAGAAAAATGATGCATACCAGCCAGTGGTCTTTATAAAGAAACTAGAGGTGAAGGGGATTAGATACAGCATAGTACCACCACGTAGTGTTGTAGACCACACTAACCGAGACCAAGACATCCTGAGACCAGAGTCAAGACCAAGACCATACATATCTCTGAAAAATCATCATCTTGTGTGCAGGGGGCGAGTCCCTCATTTAGACTGTAACACCGGGAAGGTTGCGTCCGGGGATAAAAAGTTATTTGTTCTTTTAAAAAGAGGCGTTTTCCTTCTTATCACAACAATGATGTTAAAATGGCCAAATATATCACAATTCTCAGCATAACGTAAAATGTTTAAAACCGTGATTATATCGTATGATGGGGCCTCTGGTGATTCCCACCCCTGTAAGATACTACTCTAAGTTTGGGTTTGGCTTGGGTCACTCATATGGATAAAGTGAAACACAAAGATGTAGAGAAACAGGCGGAAGAATTATCTGCTCTCTGGTGTCTACAGTTCAAAGGTTAAAATAAAAGTGTGTGTCACGATCATTCAGTAATATCCACCTTATGACATCACACTTTGACCTTTGTTACCGTTCCTTTGAGCTGTTTGACACTTCCTGTTTCTGTGCTTAACTTACTGTCCGAACCTTCCAGCTACAGGAGGGGCCTTACTTTCTTTCAAAAATAAAAGCACACAACAAGTAAAGAACCCTCAATCTCTCAACGGTCTAGCTAATGGTAATGGATTACAACCTTGTTAGGAGGTCATATGAGGTTAGAGGAGGTCAAAGTTATTTAAAGGTTTCGATATAAGAAAGTGTGCCATCCATATAATCACTGACTGGAAATGTCACCGACCTGCAAAGTGTTTTTGAGTATTTCCGATGTCTGAATTGACAAAATGACTCAGCAGGACTCGTTTAGGACCACCAGTCGGTCGTTCAAACACAACGGGCCTCACACGCGCCATCAGTCCTATCTGATGTATTGCTGCCCGAAGGCGCCTTTCCTCATCACAATGCAGCCCTCCAAGTTGTGTGAAAAGGTGCTTTTGTGATTGTTTCCCTTCGCCCCTTTGTTCTGTGTTATCTTTACTGTGGTCGAGCGGCCCGGCAGCCCGCTCTGACCCTGCACTAATGGCTCTCTGCATGACACCATGGAACAGAGCGGCCATTTAGCCTCACTTTACCTCCCTTGCCTTCCCTTTATCCCCCCCCTCCCCCCCCCTTCAGCCACTCTTAACAATGGCATCTATGACAAAGGGCCCAATTCAAGACCTCAGTGCCACCGAGGACACACACAGACGCACACCGATCCTGTTGTCCCCCTCTGTAGTCTCACCCCGAAGCCGTTCTCTTCAGAGATGATGCCAGGCATGCTCGAGCGCGTCATTGTGTCTGTACAGTGAAGCTGTGAAGAGATGTACAGTGACCAGACTGACCCCCAACACTGACCCCCTCTGACCCGAACACACACACACACACACACACACACGTTCTCTCTTTTAATATCTTTAGATTCCATTACAGTCCTCGCCCTGAGTTGGACGAACACAGCGTATGTGTTAAAGCCATGTAAATGGCGAGGCTGCTGATGTCATCATAATTTCAGTACGTGTCTGAATTTAAAGGTCTGCCTTCCTGACGGCGTCCAAGAGGTTTGTGGAGAAGGACCTGGAGGTGTCCATGGCTGGACGTGTGTTCATGATCACAGGAGCCAACAGTGGCATTGGGAAAGCCACTGCCATGGCGATCGCAAAGAAAGGTATCGACCCTAAAGCCTGTGTGTCCTCATTAACCCTGCTGTTACATAATGCACTTTCTTTAATACTAATAGGACATGATCCTTGTGCAGTATGTGAAAGTATTGAAACGTTAGGGATCTGACACTTCCGTTATCTAATCTCCATGAACACATATCTGCGTGCAAGTTCAGCTCACATCTGTGATAGAGCTCAAATTTCCTCTTCAGCCATGAAGCTGCTTGATGCTGTCACTGCCACCTTCCCCTCAGGAAGCAAAATCTGAATGTCAGAGGACGAGTTGGGGAATTAACGACACATTACACTTGTTACAAGATGAGGAACCAATTAAGTTAAACCTTGGTTTTCTTAAAGGTGGCAGAAGAACCTCCAAAAACACCTACTGATTCTATAAAAATGAGAGACAGACAGAACCTGGAGTCAAAAGTCAATGAACAGGAACACACACACACACACAAAACCGAGATTCTCATTCAAACAGAAAACACAGAAAGCCGACTGATGGCGTCGACTCTCTGGAAAGACTGAAACTTCCACCTCCCTATAAAAGCACCGAGCCCAGCTGATCGTCATCAGCCGTCAGCTGAGGTAGAAGATCACAGGTGTAGTCAGTCGCTCCTGATGAGCGAGGAAACCAAAAAATCTCCCAGGTGATGGGAGTGTTAAGATGCATCACAAAAAGTCGACAACAAGTCCAACAGTAATGTTCTCCTCTTCAGCCGGTAAAAAGTGAAATACTCTTTCTGTGTCACAGGTGGAACGATCCACATGGTGTGCAGGAACAAGGACAAGGCGGAAGAGGCAAGGGCTGATATCGTCAAGGAGACAGGAAACAAAGTACGATATGACTCACCTCTGGACAGAAATCTTAAATAACACAGGGACGGTCCACATTTCAAATCAGTCTGGTGATCCAAACATAAGATTTTCATCGTTCTCACCGCCTGGTTTCTTTGTAGGAGGTTTACGTCCACATCCTGGACCTCTCTGAGACCAAGAAGGTCTGGGAGTTTGCCGAGGGCTTCAAGAGGAAGTTCAAGGCCCTCAATGTTCTGGTGGGTTACCTGAGTTTTTTTTACATTAAAAAATACATCAATTATACATCGACATGTTCACTCACAGAGACCACACCAAGAAAGATATGGAATAGTTTATTGTGATATGCATGATAGAGATCAAGATGAAGGGAAATTATAAGGGCCAATAGATTAGGGGATGACTGTAAGGGTAGATGGGTTGAGGGATGAGGGTACAGACGAGGGATGAAAGAATTAAGGTAGGGGTTGAGGGTAAAGGTGGAAGAAGGAGGGATGTGGGATGAAGGTACATTTTTACAGATTAAGGGATGAGGGTAAGGTTTGGGGGATTTTGGATGAAGGGATGAGAGTGGAGGTCGACGGCTGAATGGATGAAGGGATACGGGTAATAATTTGCGGTTGAGGTTGGATGGACGTAGAAGAAGAAAGATGGACTGGTGCTGGCATGACGTATTCATCATATTTACATTTTACACTTTGTCAGTGTTAACATTGGTTTTGTATTGCACACACCTCACCTTGGTCAGGTTATTTCTTTGTAACCTAATTAGTTAAATAACTTGATAATGGCAGTCTCTTCAGAAATAGAGGGGTCAATATCTGTGAGAACCTCTAGCTGCATGTGGGCCCTCTTAGACTCAGTCTGGGTCCAAGAGTACGGCCCTGTTTCCAAAAATAGAAGTCTGAACCCTGGTCAAATAAGTCC